GTAAGGCGAAGGCGTACGAAGAGTTGGGCTTCAATGTATTTGGGCACAAACAAGGGTCTAACCGGGCGCGAGGGGGGCGCTCAGACGCCGGGGCCCGAAAGGACACTAAAATAGTCAGTGGGGAGTCCAGGTGCCTCCCGTTGCTCGTTCAAGTTTTGGTCGCACGAAAAAGACGCCTGGACACAATACGAGCGGTGTAGATCGGTTAAAGCCCTGGGCAGACAGGGAGGCATTAACTCAAGTGGGTTTGATCACGCGAATGGGCGCCTGGTCGCGAAATGAACAGTGGTAGACGAGCGCCTAAGGTAATAATGGGGAAGCAATGGTCAGGCGAAGCGCGCTAAGTAGGCACCGCCTCTAACCTGGGCGCCTGCGGTAAGAAAGGGGTGGACATTTGGCACATGCCAAAGTTAGTTATTATAAAAAAGAGAGCACGAAAGCCAGGTGCCTACGTCAACAAGAGGGAAAAATAACTAGGCCAGATAAAGCTCACCCAAACTGAGGCACCTAGGAAAGTGGAAAGGGGGACATCTTGTAAAAGCTAGGTGCCTGGATTGGCAAGGGTAGCTGTAGACAAGTGGAACATGATGTCCAAGCGCCCAAGTACAGAAAAGTTGCTCAAGAGAAAGCGCCCCACCTTGATAGAACCAGGCGCTTGCCACGAGACAGTATAGTCAGACCCTCAAGCCTTGGGAACTTGAGAGCCTGACTGGGGGGCATTTGTTGGGGGTATTACAAAGAGGTCCCAAAGAGTGGCCCAACAAAGCCCATTGAGACAGGGATGGGCTATCCAGTGGGAGAAGCCCATAAATGGGCCCACGAAGCCCTCTTCGTGCAGATGAAGGGTGCATGAAGACAAAAGACTAAAGACTCCAAAGTAGTCCAGGCTGTCAAGTTGTCCCCCACTTGCAGGCGCCTGCCAGTCGTCAGGAGCCTGACAAGGTGGTTGAGGCATCTGACAAGAATGAAGGCAGGGGCGGATACATGGAGGTTTAGGGGTGTCCCGGGACACCCCTAAAATTTGGAAAAAAGATTATCCAACTTTCAATAGTAGTTTGTGTATGGGTAAAAAAATATATAGTGATAGTGGGACACCCTTAAAATATGGAAAATGATTATCCAACCTCCTATAGTATTCTGCATATGGGTACAAATAGGGGTGATAATCGGTTGGCGGTTTCTCGGCTAAACCAAAAACCGACTCGAACCGAACGGTTATAAACCGAACCGAAAACCGTAAACAGTCTGGCGGTGTCGGCGTCGGTTGGCAAATTTGGGGTATAATGCTAACCGCAAAACCGCGAGTGAAAAACCGAGATAAACTCGGTTCACCGAAAAACCGACTTCTCACACCTTTTCTCCCCCTGCAACCCCCAGTCCCCCACTCTCTTCCTCTTCCTCATCCAAGACAACACGATTTTCCCTCTCCTCTCGCCAGTCTCTCCCTTCTTCTCCCTCCTCCATCGCTAACCCGTATTCTCTCCCCTAGCCGCTCTCCGCCTCTCCACCTTTCTTCCTTTCCCTGTATCCTCCAGATCCAAGGTCACAAAGTGGCGATTTGGTTCTCCTCCGCCGATAAGAAAGCGATGATAGTCGAGATTCAGCGAACAAAGGCCAAGAAGGAGAAGTGGGTCGTTGTTGGTTTGCTCTAGTGAAGATTGATCGTCCATCGCCGTCTCCGTCCCCTGCTTCTTCATTGTCCGTCGCCGCCGCCATGCCTTCGTCGCTGTCCGTCGCTGTCACTTGATAGAAGAAAAGAAGACATGCAAGGGGTGATTATCACTGTCGATTTGCCCTCTTGCATCCTCACCGGTTCTAATTGCCATCTCACCCCCCCCCCCCAAATTCCATCCAGAAATTTGGCGATTCGGCGGCGAGATTCTATAGTCGGATCCAGAAATCCGGCCAGATCCACCCCTGCATTGGTTTTCAGCTAACCGCGACACCGACCCGAAACCGTGACGGCGGTTTTCGGCTTACCCACAAGGCAATCGGTATCGGTGGCGGCTGGGTTTTTTTTATGATTGTCGGCTGCGGTTAACCGCGGTGGCGGTTCGGTTGAAACCGAAACCGCACCGCTAACAGCCCTAGGTACAAATAGTATTTAAGTGATAGGGTCTATGTGATTTGAACTTGTGAACACTGCTATTATTAGAAAATATAGTTTCAATTAGACTACAACTCATTTGTAGTTATGTTTTTAGATCAAAATATAAAAGTAAAAGGCTATTCTTATCCCCAATTATTTTCAAAACCTAACGATTAAACCCAATTACGGGTTACTCTTGTCTAGTAAGATATGTCACGAGAGATTTGTTGAGCAGTGTATACACCGAATGTATTTTACCATTCTTTCATAATACGGAACATGTTTGAACTTTTATTCTAACTTTTACTAGATGAATATTTTCATATTTAATAATTATTTGATTTAATTTTTAATTAATAATTTTATTTTTTTTTAAGAGGACACCCCTATTTAAAATTCCTGAATCCGCCACTGAATGAAGGTACGAGGCATTAAATGCGATGATGACATGGAGGAGATAAACCTCGAGTTGTGTGAGTATAAATAGGGGCAGTTGGTAGCATTTACAGAGGGGGGACTCTTTCACTAAACTCACTTACTACGCACTTCTCTTTCTAAAAAAGGAACGGACTTGATCGTCGGAGGACTAACGGGCCCGGACGCCCCCCTCTGTGTTTTTGTGTGTAGGCCAGGCGCCTACCTTCAAAGGAGTGAGTTCAGTGTCGTGGTATCAGGGCTCAAACAATTAGTCAATTTGAGAGATTTGTATGTATCACGCGAGGCACGGGAATGGGAGGGGAGAAGCGGTTCATTCTATTTTGCGTGGATGGACAAGAGAATGGATCCAGAATTGATCCATCAGTTGATCGAGGCAGCCCATTGCCCATAGAATAGAATAGAATATAATACCACGTAACGTACGTACGTACATGACAAAAAAACACGACGCGTCACGAAACTATGGTGGCGGTGAATTTAGATTAGTGAGAAGGGTACGATCAGTTTCGTAACGTATGTATATGTATTGTATGGATGCAGTTTTTGTCGCTTCTGCCCTGCAGCAGATGCAGAGCACTGCAAGACAACAACAGTTTCACTTGAACCAAAACAACAACAACAACAGCAACGAGGAAACGCATTAAGTAGCTAGCTTGAACCGTATCCATTTCTGATGATGATGATGATTGCCTTCCGAAACAAGAACCGTTATACATTTCATCCCGACACACAAACGCTCCATTGGATCGGATATGACGACGAGATCCTCATTATAGCTCCTTCTGATATAACCGATCCCACCCACCAACTCCCAACGTGAATATTGCTTTCCTTCCATACCACTACCACTTCTCCCGCCGTTACCGCCTCAGCCACCATGCCAAGTTATTGTCGTCACTTCCTAGTACTACACATGCTACGCCACATGATCTAATTCTAACGTTCGTTAACATTGAAAGGAGGAATTCAGGAGTTTGGTCGTCTGGATCCATCACTGTCGTTATGTTAGCAATTAGCTCTGAGTTAATCTGCTCCCGCGTTGGGGCTCGATTTTGTGTGGGCTTTTTCAGGCGGTGCAATTGGCGCGCAATCGTATGTATTTATTCTTGTTAAGCGTGGATAGCAGCAGGGTGGTAATAATGGATCCAGTGGGTTCTTGTTGGGCCTCGACGAAGTTCACGCTATCTATGCTTTCGTAAAAACTAAGAAAATACTCGATTGGGTGTTGTTTGGTTTTGGCGATAGTTAAATAGACGGGCTTTTATTAATATATGTATAATAATATACATGTATATTCAAAAAATTGGGATATTGTAGTATACATCGTTTGGTTTCTGTTATAGTTATTGTGTTATTTAAATTAGTTATATTACTTTCCGTATAAAATGTCACTTTTACCCTTTGGTTTTAATATAAAAAACCAACACACAAAAAAAAGGATACGCACAAGAAAAAAAAACACAACAATCTCAATTAAACAATCTCAACAATTTTGAGTGATAATTTGTGTTATATCAAGCAAACAATACATGTTTTGTTTGTGTAGAAATTTTTTTTAAAAAAAGATGCATTGTGAGCAATACATATATTGTGACCAGGGAGAAAGAGGAATATGAATGGAGTCTTTTACAAAAAAAAAAAAGTTCAGTTCAGTCACAAATTGTATGCAACTATTGATTTTTTAATATGCTACTGAAGATGAGTTTTTGGCGATAAGGATGGTTCATAAAAAATTTGAACTTGAAATCCCTAGATCAAGCAACGGTAATACTGCTAGATCAACCCATCATTTACCGTACAATCAATGTAGTAAAAATCGCGATTCTATCTAGAAACGAAAAAGGGTGAAATCGTAATACGCAGAATCAAAGCGTAATTCTTTACGCATATTGTAAAATAACTAAAAATATGTAAAGTACGACATATACTATGCAAAATACGACATATACTATGTAAAATATGAGTGCACAGATTTTAGATAAGTTAATAAATATCTGCATGTTTAAAGTAAAGCAACCCATTGCATGTTAACAATAAGTTCATAAACATAGATCTTAACAATAAGTCACATTCTCATCTATACTAATGAATTTGGGAAAGACCTAGTTGGTGAATTATATTTACTCTATCGAAGTTGATTGAAGAACGTGATTTGCTGCAGTGGATTTGGACCAGCAGGGGAGTTCAATGGGCTGATATGTTTGTTGGGCTAGGTTGTGGGCTGCTCTTAATTCGTTCTCAAGTGATAATGTCCTCCGGAGTCCGGAAAGTGAAACCCTCAATCACTGGAAACTAGCCAGCAAGTGCTTTGATGGAAAACTAGAATCTACAATGGCCCAACAATTGGGCCGTTTTATGGTTGTTGAAGCTTTACGAATAAAAACAGAAAAGGCCCAAAACAGCTGTATATGCCACGTAGGCGTGCTAGAGGCCACAATATACAAAACCTGACGTGAAAGTAGCCCCTTGATTTTCTATTCCGCTGCTTAACGAAACTTGGGCGAGCCCTCATTCATTTTCCTTTCAACCCAAGCGAAAGTCACCGTCACATTTCCGCGGGTAATTCTCCACTTCTCTCTCCATCTCCTAATCTGCTGTTTACCGCCGGCGACGAGGTCCTCTCGCATGCATCGCAATCTGCGGAATCTACGATGGCCGCTTCCCTGACGCGATCCTTAATTTTCCCTCTCCCGGGCCAAATCTCCGCTAAACCCTCGCGCTCGACGCACTCGCCGCAGTCGTTGATTTCCGTCAGACGGCACTGCGGCGTGTCGGTGCGAGCCTCCACCTCAGGCTCAGGCAACAACAAATCGTACGAGGGCAAGAATGGCACGCAGGCGTTGGAGTTGAAGGTGGGCGATGGAGCTGTTCCCGCTGCCTGCGATGTGCTCACCAAGGATTCGCTTCCGAGTAGGCATTTTCAACGAGTTCGATTCTCTTTTTTTATGATTTCCGTTGTAGGGATTGAATTCAATTGTTGTTCCTATTGCCCGATTTCAACAGGGCCCTTGACGTCGGCGCGACTGGCTAATTCAGGCTCCGGTGGTTCTCGCCTCCGCGTTGCTTATCAGGTTAGATGTGGCTTTCTGTATTTCGGTATGAATTCGTGAAAAAAAAAAGGGATTTTAAAGTCGAGGTGGTTTTCTGTTTTACTGAAATGGAAATTTGCATGCAGGGTGTTTGTGGGGCGTATAGTGAATCTGCTGCTCAGAAGGCATATCCCAACTGTGAGGCAGTGCCGTGTGATCAATTCGAAACTGCATTTGAAGTAAGTGACTCCAAACTGATGCTTGTTTCCTTTACTGGATTTGGATATTTTCTTTTGATTGTAAACAACGAAACTAGGAATTTCAAGGGTTTGGAGAATGGGCTTTCATTACCTTGAAACTCCAAGTTTTCACTCACCAGAGGGGATAAGGGATAAGAAAGGGAGAGTTATAATACCATTGATGTTTTAATTGCTGTGGAGTATCTCAAATTAGGCCTTTTTATGGTTACTGTTAGGTAGATCATAACTTTCTTAACTACTATAGGAGTTAGAATTCAGTTGTGCAGTTCTACAGTGAATGGTGGTTGACCATTTGATTTAATTTATTGTACAGATCTTGTCTCTTTCAGAATTCAAACTCCATCCCATCGAAGCCTTTTCAAGCATTGTAATCTTTGTGGGATGTTCTAATGATGTTATATGGCCTTTTGCCATTCACCTCTATAGGCAGTTGAAGGCTGGACTGTGGACAGAGCTGTGTTACCCATTGAAAACTCTTTGGGTGGGAGTATCCACAGAAATTATGACCTGTTACTCCGACACAAGCTGCATATAGTGGGAGAAATAAAATATGCTGTTCGTCATTGCTTGCTAGCGAATCCAGGTGTCAAAGTTAATGACTTGAAGAGGGTTCTAAGTCATCCCCAGGTATATTGCTGAACATTCTTTTTCATGGATTCCTTTTCAAGTTCTTCAACCAACGGGGGGATCTACTGGAACATATTTCAGGCTCTTGCTCAATGCGAGTATACATTAACGCGGTTGGGATTGGTGAGAGAAGCAGTGGATGATACTGCTGGTGCAGCAAAGGTAAGATGAGATAGGAGATATTCCAGGTTTTTGTTGGTCTGCTGCACTATCCTTTGTTTTTATCTTTTGGGGTTGTAATGGAGGAACTATACCAAGTGGCTAACCTTATCCAGGATTTTTGTTTATGTTTCTGCTGCTAAATCGAACTATCCGATTGCAGTATGTTGCACTCAGCAAATTGGAGGACACAGGAGCTGTTGCTAGTTCGGCTGCAGCTGAAATCTATGGCTTAGATATATTAGCAGAAGACATTCAGGTTTCAGCATCTTCTTGTATTCCTGTTGTTTTTCTTGATGCTAGACAGACATTTCATAACCGTGTTCATATTCTATTAGGATGATTCTGACAACGTGACAAGATTTCTGATGTTGGCGAGGGACCCTTTAATTCCGGGAACGTACCGTCCTTTCAAGGTTAACTTGACATTAATATTGTAGTGGAAAATTTATTTACTGTTGCCTGACTAAACTAACAGGCAGGGGATAGTAATAATATTGGTTCTTGGATTTTTCAGACAAGCATTGTCTTTTCACTTGAGGAGGGACCTGGAATACTGTTCAAGGCTCTTGCAGTTTTTGCAATGAGAGACATCAACCTTACGAAAGTAATTTTCATTTTCTCCCCAAATTCCACCCCAAATTTTTTTCTGGTATTTGCGCGTTCCTGATTTTTGTCCCTCTGTTCTGAACAAGATCGAGAGCCGCCCTTGGAGGCGGAGTTCTCTGAGACCTCCTGGAGAGAACGCCAATGGACTTCAGAAGTAAGTCATTGTATTGACAAATTGCTGCATTACATTTATCAGGGCTGGGAAACAGTGCGGTCTGGTCCAGACCAGACCATATATACGGTCTATGGTCCAGACCGAGAGGCTGAAGTATAGACCACAGACTATACGGTCCGGTCTAGACCGCGCCTGTGCGGTCTGGTTCGGTCTGGTCTGGTCCAGATAGACCACACTCAAAGAAAAATGAATAATTTGTTTAGTCAACCACACAAAAAATTGAACCAATAACCAAGAAAAATAATTGTTATTTGCCTTAAAACATTAGTCCTAACATGCATTAATAATTTTGATACCCTAAATTTTAGTACATAACAAAAATACAAAGTAAAAGCATCCCAACTTGCACCATAACGTTATAAACATTAACATAATGTCATATAGAGACACGGTTATCTCTACTCTCTGGTTAAATGTGGTTGTGAATGAAGGAGGGACAAGATTCTCAAAATTAAGGTTGAGACTTGGGTGTCGTTGTGGGAGAGTGATTAAATGGGCTATTAACACGTATTGGCAAGTCAGTTGGGTTCACGGTTTGGTCCGGTAAACCGCGGTCTAGACCAGACTAGACCAAGAGATCAAAACATAAAATAATACAGACCATGGACCAGACCAGACCATACTTAACGGTCTACGGTCCAGACCAAATTGTGCGGTACGGTTTGGACCACGATTTTTCTAATGATCTGGTCTATTTTCCCAGCCCTAACATTTATAGCCCCGCAATTTACTCATCATCTTCTGCAGTAACCTAAGACAGTAGTTTGGTCTTGCAGATGCTTTCACTATATGTTCTATGTCGATTTCGAGGAATCAATGGCTAGTGATAATGCTCAAAACGCCCTCAAACATCTGGAAGTACGTCTCCTCTCCTTCGCAAGCTTTTTCCCGTTGCACAGTAATTCTCCATAATTGGATGCTGGACACATAATGGAACTTGTGTTGATTGTTGTTGGTCTTGTTTGACAGGAGTTTGCAACTTTCTTGCGAGTTCTTGGGAGTTATCCCGCCGATACTACCATGCTATAATGACATTCCCATACAGTAAATACTAAATACGCATTACCCTATCAATTGCTTTGCTTATGCTTCATTTCTTCAACCACCTTAAATCTTCTCTGGTTGTGGTTTCTAATCCAGGTGATGATCGGCTTAGACGAGAAACCTGGGTGTTTCGAGCCTCAACTTAGCTACTTCTTGGATGTTGCCTTGCCCGTAATTACAGAACGTTTTTGCAGAGATGAATAGATCTTAAAGCAGCAATAGGCTAAACTGATTTAATTTTCTACAACTTACTTTAAAATTTTCATATAGCTTCTCTGTTTGGATTTGGTTGGAAATGTAAGCTTCTCTAAGCAATCTTTTCTCCTATTTGGTTGTGGTAAAGAACACCGTACATAATAAAAAGGAACAGAAACGTTTCTTGCTTATAGAACACAGCTAAAAGAGAAGAAGAAACGGTGGACCTAATGCAGAACCTAAACTGTAAAGGTGAAGCTGTAGACGAACTAGCATTCCCCTCAGCTCTTTCTCTTCTCCATCAAGCTCGTTATCAGGTCGCGAATCTCTCCTCTCAATTTCCCAGCCGACTCCTTCGTCACCTGTTCCTTCACCGCGGAAAACCAAAGCTCCTCGTCCACGGCTGCGGCGTCTCCGTTCAGTCCCGTGCGCTTGAGGTATTCATCGTACCAACTGCAGATCGCCCTGGCTGTGGCAATCACGAACAATCCACAGTCGTATCCATTCTGCTGCAGGGGAGAATCAGCGTGCTCCTTGTACTCCACCGCCGCGGCGTCGGCATCCTTCCCCATCAGCTTGGCCAGCACCCAGTACAGCCGCCGGGCGGGGCGCTTGTTCATCCCTCCCAAGCTGTCGTGGTGGACGAAGACGTTTCTTCCGCTGTGGTACGCCAGCAAGCTCCAGTGGGACCCACCCTCGGCGACCTCCACGTCGTCGTTGTCGTTCACCGGGAACAGAACAATCTTCCGCTCTGGAAGCTTCAGCGGCTGCGCGAATTCGCGGAGTGAGTCGGCGTCGGGGCAGTTGGATATCCAGAAAGCGATCGACGGCGGAACCAGCAGTACATCTTCGGAGGGAAAGGAGGAGGAGGAGGAGGAGAGGTAGCTGAAGTAGAATTCGATGATTCTGTCGTTCAAGAAGCGGGGGCCGCTGAGGATGCGCAAATCGGATTGGCGGAGGACGGCGTCGTCGTAGCTGAGGATTATTTCGTCGGCGGCGGCGGATCTGCTCATCGTTGCGTCACAGATTCGAGCTCAGTTGGTTTTACTGCAGGCTGGAAGTGGAAGGTTCGATTTACTGGCGGTGGACGGTTATCGGAGATGGGGGTTCGAGAGATTGGATTTTATAGAGGATGATTGGTAGTAAAACTGTTTATTTACGGGTTTTACGGGAAACGTGTAACGTGGGTGTAGGGGTGTGAAGTGTGATGGGGGAATTAATGGGGTTCAGGGAGATGACGAAGCAATTTATGTGTGCTAATGTGAACAATAAAAAATCATTTATCTCGTAAGTAAATCCGAACCATAGTCAGAGTCGAATTGGGCCTTGGCCCTTGGATCAGCCTGGGCTCAGAAACGAAGCCCGTTTCGTTTCGGCTCCAGGAATATGCAACGAAGTAGCCCATGCTTGGGAGGTTGGGATTCCCTAATCCTTAAGGTAGTGTGTGAAATATTGACCTCATCCGTTTAAATTTGACTTGGAATTGGAAATGATCAGACGGTCTGGTTTTGACTCGATCAAACTCATGAGAACTAAGGTTTGTTTATGAAAATTCTATAATCGTATGATAATGTGAAAGAAGTAAATTTAGAAATTGGAAATGAGGATATCATCGAGTTTGAGGAAAAAAACGCTACAAACCAATCTCACTACCGTTTTTACTCAAGATGTGTACTCGATTATACATATAAGTTGTAGCTTCTGAGATATGTAAACTGTATTTCTTATGGTGACTAAAGGATGATAACGATTTGCTCCACATTTACTCTGATCAACGCAGTTAGGCAGGCGTTGTAACAGAATATTGGCGAGTGATCCATCTGGGTTTAGTGCAGTACAAAAGAGATCCCACTAATAGCAAATTTTTGTTGTTGTTGCCATCCTCCTTGTTCGTTAGCGACCTTTAGTTGCCTTTTTCTTTTTAAAATTAGGAAAGACACCCACCTTTCCTATTTCTTCGATAGAAAGAAAAGTGGCGTAATATATCCATTAAGAAAGAAAAAGCATCACTTGTCATTTTGTCAAAGGTGCTGAGATATGGTTAATTACGAGTGCGGATCCGTGACTAGGAGGTGCTTAGTCAAGTGATTAAGTCCTTCCTAGTCTTGGATTTTGACCTATTAATCTAATGGTTAAAAAAGGGAAAGGAATATTTAATTAATAAAAAGGCTAATTATGGCATTATAAAAATTCATTATTTTTTTGTTTTATTTCCCAACGGGCCCACGGGCCACAGCCGCGCACGTCTCCTTCTTTTTCATAATTCGGCTTGTTCTTCTTTATTTTTTTCATTACACTAATTCTTTCTTTATTAATCACTAATAAGTGATTTTAACCATCTCACTCACGTGCCTCTTCTTTGTTTCTTATTTTATCAATTTTTTTCTACAAAATGTTCAATTCATACCAGAAAAATATACAAAGTAAAAATACATCATATACAAACATTATAATAAAAAAATCAATAATATGTGATTTACAAATCAGAATATAAAAGTGTACAAATTATATCACAAATATGTACAAACTAATATTACCAAATACCATGTATACAAAATACAACTACTTACCATACAAATCGATGTGAATTCATTTACTAATCAATAATACAAAGTATACAAACTATATCATAAAAGTATACAAAGCATTATTAAAAAGTATTAGAGCCACATGATATGAGTATACAATTAACATTATATACAAAGATTACTAAAAACAAAAAATATCACTAATGAATATTAAAAGTATACAGACCACATCATAAAAGTATACAAATTTATATTATAAACCACATCATAAAGTATACAAATAATACTAACATTTATACAAAGCATACTAACGGTACAAATTACAACTACTTAAAATACAAAATCAATATTACAAAGCATACAAATCAGAATTATACAAAAATTACAAACATAGTTGACAAAAATAACAAACATGGTGGACAAAAATACCAAAACTTACAAACATTACAAAAGAAACCAACAAACATTACAAAAATAACCAATCTTACAAACTTTGCAAAAGGAAACGACAAACAGTACAAACCATACTAACCGTATAAAAACAACTACTTATAATACAAATCGATAAACTGGTATTACAAACCAATAAATACAAAGTATACAAAATTGACAACCAAACATTACAAATTACAATATATTCAAATTAGTCATATAAACATTACAAACATAATAGATAAAAATGACAAACCGGAATAATAAATGATACAAACCTAATTAATACAAAATTACAAACTAAACTTACAAACATTACAAAATAATTCGACAAACATAACAATATCTCTCCCTCTCCCTGGCCAAATAATTCCCATCCCTGGTCAAATAATTCCCATAAAGGGACTGCCAATTTCCCAGGCGGTGCAAGGGAGGCGAATCGGTCGGCGGGAGGGAGTGAGGGACCGACCAGTTCAACCCACTTTATTTTATTTTAATTGTTAAATAAATAATATGTGTAATGACTATCTTGTTCTTCATTAAATGAAATTAATATGGATCATTGAATTTTAATGAGGTGCAAGGGTGGAGATTCACTTAGTCATGTGACTAGGGACCTTCCCCACTGGTCACCTGATATTGACCCGTTAATTACACCGCATACTACATAAATAATGGATTCGTTCCCTACTAATCACTTAAATTTTTGTAGTTGTAACTAAATCACATAAGTCGACTTCCAGTTGCAGTGTTATATTTTCCATCCTTAAACTTGATGATAGGCATCAAATTGATTTTTTCCGCATCAATTTACACATTCCATTTTCCATCACATTCTTCCATCTCATTTCGGAATTTCTTCCATCTCATTTCGGTATTACTAGCACTCTCTATAATTATCGTATGTCCTCCTTTATTTTTTCGTCAAAATTTACAACTGTTTCATTTTTTGGGTATAATTGAATTAAACTTTGGCTTCCTTCCAAATAAAATAAAAATTTAAAATTTATATTTATGTGGAATGTGAAATGCAATCTTTATTCTATTTTTTTCATTTTTTTATATCTTTGGCATGATTGGCACCTCACTATAGGTTTTTCTTTCGGGGGAAATTTTTTGGGTGCCCCTCTTATAGATTGTTTCAATTCATCTATTATAAATGAATTTTTTTTATGGTTAAATCAATTTGTACATGTTATTGTTGTATAAGTGTTGTAATGAGTATTTGAGTTATAAGAAGTTCCAGCATAAAGAGTCTTTCTTTAGCTGAGTTCTGCAGACCTGAACTTCAGGTGACGATCAGATAAAAACTAAAAAAACATATTGAGATTAAATACAAGGGGATGTTTTAAACTGAATGAGCGAAGATGAATTAAGAAACGGGGTCTTAGGCAGTAAAATCGAGCGACAAAAAAATTGAAGTAATGAGAGAATTCCATGTGAAGTTTTATCATAGCTATGTTACTAGTGTTCTACTAAAGAAAGACTTCCAGAGCGAAACTCAGTTTTTCGACCAAAGTTCGCACCCAAAGCCCCCATCTCCAACTCTATAAATAATTTTATAAGAGAATCGGCAGCCATAGAGCAAGAGAGGGATTTAAAAAGGCTATTGTGATCGGGTTTGTTCAATCCTCCATTTTTATAAAAAAATGTTTATTTTGTGGAGATGAAGAAAGTGAAAGAAAAATGGTATTGTGTAAATTAAGGTGGAAATGTTCAATTTGATATCCAACGTTTAAGTTTAAGGACGAAAAATATAACGATGCAACCTGAAATCGACTTATGTGGTTTAGTTGCAACTAAAAAAACTTATGTGATTAGTATGCAACGAAAGCAATACTTACGTAGTATCCGGTGCAATTAATCATATCAAAAGTTACATGATGAATATTCTGAAAGGAGCCAAGCAAGAAATTACAAGAAACATAGAAAGAACCAAATTAGCCACTACATAGACTACTTTATTGTTTTGCCCCCAACAAAACGAACTTGAAAACTCAAGAATAATGCAAGTAATTGATGAAAAATCCACATCGAAGAAACCTCCTATACAATATCTTTGGACGCCCAAATTCACCTTGTCAAGCACTATTTCTTTTTTATAAAGGTGAAATAAATTAATTAAAATAGTAACAGAGAAAAACAACCAAGTCAAGAGAGAAGGTTACACAGACACCTCTCAAGAGCCTAGAGGAAAGGAGAAAACAAAGCAAAGTCGCCTGGGACAACAACATACAAACGAATACAAGCGACTGACAAGCTACAGGAACAAGGAAAGAAGAGGAAACAACGAAAACAAAAGCAGCATCAGGTAGACCAAAGCAGCAGAGGGGCAATCCACCAGAAGAGACATTAACGATCTAGGACACGCCAGGCAAGAGGGGAATCAAGAGGCCTCCAAGTCCCCAACGCCGTCAACATCAGGCTCCTCCAACTCATCCTCAACAGTAGGTAGAGCAGCAGGGCAGCATCTCCGGGTAACAGACGAAGTTTAACCATATTCAACCAAAACTTAGCCTGATCACTATCGACCTTGTGAGCAGCACCCAACCACTCAGCAATACAAAAAGCAATCCGAAAAGCCACACCCTGCCCAGCCACACCCGTATCTCTGAAGATCTTGGAGTTACGTTCCAACCAAATGCACCAGCAGAAGGCGTGAAGAAAAATCAGGGAGCACCACTCCTTCGGATTAGCCGGCTGACCATGCGGCACCTCCTCATCAGATCCATAATATCACTGTCACAGGTCTTGAGGTCAACAAAATTAGAAAGAGACTGCCACACTTCCTTGGAGAACCGGCAAAGAAGGAAAAGATTATCTGCAAATTCCTCCTGTTCACCGCACAAGACACACCAGTTAGGGAAAGCCCACCCTCTCCGCTTAAGGACATCTTGAGTGAGGATTTTTTTCTGGAACACAATCCACATGAACACACAGACTTTCGGAGGGACCACATGCATCCACACAAATTTATAAGGGAATGAAACCAATCCAGGAAATTGCTCATTGAGGCACTCCGAGTAAAAGGAACGAGCTGAGAATCCCCTGGCTGGAGAGGGATCCCAAATAAGTCGAGAAGGACCTGCAAAGAAGGAGTCAACGGGTAAAGCACTAAGAAGATTTAACAAAGAT